TATTAAGTGTAAGCTAATCATTTAACCCTAATGGAAAGTGGTCGAGCTATAGATATTAACTAAAGCATTGCTTGGAGGCAATCCAAGTTTTACTTTTAAGATAAAGTTTAAATTTTCTTTTTTTTTTATTTGTTTGTTTTGTTTTTGTTTTTAGGAATGATAACTTAAAGAAACTTGGAACAAGGAAAGCAAAATCGAAAGTTAGGAGTAAGGGTAATGTGCAGATTTAGATATTCAAGGTTACCAAGATTCAACCATGCATGAATAGTGGAGTTTCTCTGTTTATTTTTAATACTTACTTATTCTATTCCTATATATTGAGAACAATATGTTACTTAAATTGGCAAGAGAGAAAATTTATGCAAAAATTTTCCAAAAATAATTCAAATTTTTTGTTACTATGCTTCAATTACTTGCTTTGAATCATTATATTACCTCATTTGAATTATTTTCTCATAATCCAATGATAGAAACTTGATTGACTCTAATTATAACTTTTAAAAAAGAATGAATATAGTGATAGCATAAGAAAAATATTTTTAATCTATTTCTTTGTGATTGTGATATTTTCAATTTTTTGAGCACTTAATCTTGATTATTAATATGCAAGCATGTTTAGAAAAGGATTATGTGATTGCAAGATTGCATTGAATTTTGAAGTATGTTATTATTCTATAATTTACTTAATTATCATTTGAGGCAAAATCCTAAACTAAATTTAACTAGGGAAATGATTGAGCTCTTTAAGCTAACCCTTATAATGTTTGTCCTTAGTTACCCCTTTTGAACTTTATATTATCTTTCTTTGTTTTCACATACATGAAATAGCCTAGCCGTTTAATTCTATTTTATCTATCTTTGTACCATATCTTATGTGCATATAGATCAATTTAAAATCAATTTAGAGAGCTATGCATATTGGAAAGGAAGGGGGAGTTTTAAAAGAAAATGGTGAAAACATTTTGTAACAATCTAATTGAGCAAGTAAAACAAATAAAACATGCTCGGACATAAGCATTCTGTTTTGGGGGAAGTTGAAAAGAAAAAAAAGAGTTGTTGCAGGAGAAAAGAAAAGAAAGAAAGAAGAACTCAAGTTTGGGGGTGTGATATTTTCCTTGAAAGCTCTAAATTAAAATAAAAAAATCCTTAATAATGCATGGGTTATTGAGCTTAAAATTTTTCTTTATCCTATCTTGATTTTAGCCTGATATTACAACATTAATAAAGACCTATTGATCTTTGGTTAAGTGTGGCTACCTTAGTGGCAAGAGATGTGAAAAAGCAAGCATATGAAATTTGATCATGCTTTGAGGTGATATGTTGATTTCAAGTTTGCATAATCTCAACCAAATGCCTAGTGTTTATATGAGATAGATATATCACACACACATGAAAATTTGCTATTGTGATGATGCTTATTCTTGAATGATTCTTATGTTTGAACTAGGTTTATGATTTCCTCTAAGTTATATTCATTATGCAATTTTTGAAAAACCTATGAGAATTTGATTATTGGAAGCTTATATTTTTTATTTCTAGCATGTTTATCTTGTTTAGTAAAGTTTTATTTTGCTTGAGGATAAGCAAAAGTTCAAGATTGGATTTTTATAACTCTATAAAATATAGTTAGTTTTAGTACTTAATTACATAAATTTTGCTTAGTTCTTGGCAAAATAACTTAATTTTCATCTTTAATATGCTGAATTTGATAATGTGCAGAAAAAGTTCAACTGAAAGTTGTGACTTGATGAATTCTTGATGATTTGGACAAAATTTTGAATGAAAATGCAAAATTGGTGCAAAATTATGATGTTGCACCTCAATGATTGAAAATTAAATGAGTCTTGAAGTTAAATTCATGAATTCATGCAATAACAAGAAAAGGCATGTTTGGATATACAAGAAAAATATTTAAATTTCTAAGATTATATTACAAGTCCATGGAGTTCTATGTAGACGTGTATACATGAGATCATTATGGTTGACATGACAACAAGTCCAATCTCATTGGTTAATAGATATGGCAAAGACTCTTGTATGGCATGATAACATGGGAAAAAAAGGATTAAAAGTCATAGTTTTAGAGTTTGACTTTTCAAGAACTCTGTAAGAAGAGTCAAAGTTAAGAAAGCTAAGGACTTAAATTTGACTAGGTGCTACTTGACCTTATCAATTGCTAGAAATTTATATCACTTCAAGAAAAAGTTAAGATAGCACTTTGATAATGAATTCAACCAAGATTTAGTCTATATATATTTGAATTCAACCAAAATTCAGTACATATACATTTTTTAAAAAAGTTTCACTTTAATTAAAAACAAGAAGACTTCAAGATCATAAGAATTCAAGGCTACTAAACTAGATTAGGACTCTTGGTAATCATTTTCTATAAATACTTAGTTTTAGGCTATAGAAAAAAAAAAGTTTGGGGAAACAACCCAAACTAAGTAGTTCTTAGTTTTATTTTATTTTCTTATTCTTTACTTTTCATGTTTTTAAGCTTTATTTAAGTTATTTTAAATTTATGCAAAGTTTTAATTTAAGTTTTCTTTTCAATTCAAGTTTAAAGCTTTTTTAATTTAAGTTCTTATTTTCTATGCATCTTAAATTTGTTGCTATAATTTAAAATTCAGTTGTTTAATATAAATGAAGTTATTTACATATTGGTTTTACTTTAAGTTTTTAAACTACATTTTATCTTTAAAGTTGATTTAGTTTGATGCATTCTAAAATTCGGTTTTCTCAATATAACTAAAGGCACACAATTTCAATATTTAGTTCTCTTTAATGATCGTGGAAATGATTTTTACTTATTATTTTATTACATAATTATAATTTTACATACTTTCAAATATGCACTCATTAGTCTCAAAAAAAAGTTAGCATCTAAAAATTTTTTGTTAAATATATAAAATGAAAGAAAAAAATAGAAAAAGAAAAGAAAAAACACTTGATATACCTTTTTTATTAAGAGGATCCCACACAAAAAATATTTTTAAAAATCTTTATTAAATAATTTTAAAAGTAGAAAAAAAATAAAAAGCAAAAAAGAAGTTTGGAGTAAGTAAATTCCACATATAAAAAATAAAAATCTTTAAAAATATTTTTTAATAATTTAAAAAAAATTAAATATTAAAAAAAACAAAAATAAAAATAAAAATAAATAGTAAAAAAAAAAATGACACATGGTGCCAACAGTATTCGTGCATCTACACAGTTCACGTACAGGATTATTATTGAAAAGCATTACATTGGTCTACGGAGGTAATATCATAAATTATATTTGATTTTTTTTTTATGTGCAAAATTGGTTTGATGCCTCCAAATTTTAAATAAATTATATATAATTTGATGTCTCCGTCCCAAAAGTACCTTTCTTAACTGAGTTTTAACGATGAAATTTTTAAAAAATAGGCTTCAAAAAATTTAAATGAAGAAAATTTCAAACATATTTTTATAAAAATTTATTTTAATAAATATTTAAAATATCAACGACGGATGTTGAAAAAGTTTGAATATAAAAAAGTTAAGGTAAACGTTATTTGTGAGATAGAAAAAGCAATTAAATGAAAAATGTTTGATTCATTAGGGAAGAAAAAATAATTTGAAAATCACACCTCAAATTCATAATTTTTATTCTCATGTCAATTATGCGAAAAAGCTTAAGAAAAAAAGTAAGATTAAATGTTCAAAAAGAGATAAAATCCTGTAAACATTAAATGTTTAAAATATTTGTCTAATTATTTATCGTCTCAAATAAATTTTAAAAAATGTCATACACAATAAATAAAAATTTTTAAACCTTACAAATTTTTACAAAACCATGTCAAAAAGTTATATCGTGTATTTTTTTAATTGTATTAGTTTATTATTTTGTAAAATATATAACATTCCAGTTTAAGGCATCAAATCAAACTCAAAAAATAAATAAATAAATAAATAAATCCATCCATATGGTTTAATTATTGCCTTCACTTTTTTTACCATAAAATGAATAAAATCATCGACAGTTTGGGATTTTTATCCCCATCTTCATTTTTTATTTTTTATATTATATCATTCTTGATCGTTATATTCAACAAGTGTTTCAAACATATTTATATTTTTATTTCGTTGATATTTAATAAATATAAATAATACTTTTACTTTCAAAATTTTTTTAAAAAATAAGAAATAAAATTTATTTTTTTAGTTCTTTTATTATTTTATCTTGAACATTTACATAATTTTTATAAATAAATATGAATATATATTTTTAAATAAAAATATATTAATTTTAATTATTTAAAATAAAAACTTTATTTAGCAAATTAAAATTTTTTTATTAAATATATATAAAATATGAATATAAACACAAAACAAATTTTATATTATCCGTTATTTAATAAAAATTTAAAATAATATTTATTCATCTCTATTTTCAAATTTTAATTTTTTTTATTCGAATAAAAAATTAAATTTTAATCAATTTTGGACAAGACTCACGTTCATGTGAGCAATTAAAATTCATTTATCATGAAAGGACAATGACACAGACACAACAGCAGGTTTCAACTTTCAAGACAGCTCCTACTTCAAAGTTCGAAGTTCAAACAATGATGTCCAGAGACGGCAGAGCTTCCCCTCTTGTCCATCAATGTCTGGGAAATTTCAACATCCGGTAAGCACAAAAAATAATAGTCAAAATGCTGCTGATACGAACATGAGGCTGAGCTTTATTGGTTTATACCCGATGATACACAACACATCCAAAATTTAAATATTAATACTTGCAATTTCTTTATATATTTTAAAAGTTAGGACCTGCTTTGTAAAAACAAAAAAACCTGCTGCTGATACCCAGCTGTATACAAAGGATAGAGAAAGGCAAAAACACGACAATTTTCTATGTTCTTGTTTGTGTAAGAAATTTTCCATCCGTTTTGAGCATGCTTTGAAAATCTGATGGACTGATACGACCAACTAAACTTGGATGCTTTGTCAACAAATGTAAATCAAAAGGAAGAAATGGCAACATCTGATATATAAAACTAAAACGTTGATCGACATGCCAACAGCTGATATATAAAAGATAAACGATATGCCTAAACGTTGATCGATACTTGGGACAACTGCATACAAAAACGGGTCTGCATGACACCATCATATAAATTTTCAGTCCTCGATTTGAATAAAAAAAAATCCAAGAAAAATCACTCGGCAGTGACATTCCTTTGTGATACATTGAAGAGGTCACTGAAAATTATATAAAACTAGGGCAGACTGGTCCCTTGGATAGGCCAAGTCGAACTTCCATGCTATGGTGCAAGTCCAGCGGCCGTACAGTCTCAGAGTCTCGAGGATCTGCAATCAACATAAAAAATTTTAAATTATTACTATGTATAACATTAACCTAAACCATACACTTTTCCATGCATTATCCAACTTGATGACTCCCTGCAACTCGATCTTTAAAGGACCAAACATGATATACGACATTCCAAGTTCCTAACAGAAAATGAATTGCCATTTATTCGACTCAAACAACATGCACTCAGTGCAAATATTACCAATTGTCAAGTAAGCACACTGGAATTAAGAAATCAGACCTAATCAGCAGAATGAATAGTAGATGGTAATGTGGAAACTGTATCCATAAGAAATGGTAATAAAATTTTGAAAAGAAACACATAAAAATTTCTCAATTTTCAAATATATTTTATTTATAAATTCAGCTGGGATTTTTTTTTTAGGAAAAAAGGGGAACCAGATTTATTTCTTTTCAAAAAGCACACCTTAGGAGCAAAGGAGTTGAAGGCAAATGACAAAAGTAAACGTAGGAAAAAGAAAATGATTTTGAATGCTTATTCTGACACTAAATGGCTGTTAGAAAACATTTCAACATCTCATCCATAATAAATTGAAACCTAATGACTTGGAAAAGAAAAGGCACTAACATAATAACAGAACTCCAAACATGAGATTGAACTGACCTTCCTCAAGTCTTTCACTGATGGAAATTGGACAGTAAGTAGTGAGTTGAAAAGATTACCAAGTACCAAACAATGATGTTGACAAATAGTAAATTTAAAAAGAAAGCTCAAGCAAACATTAGCAAGGGACAAATCTGTACAACAAAATTCACAAAAAATGTATTTATTTTGTATTTAGTGTGTATTGTTATACCATTCAGATAATCCTCGAAGCCAAAATCATCTAATGTTCCTGTCAATGCTTCCAAACCTAGCATTGAAGATGGGAGCAATGGCCTCTGGAACCTGCATAATTTTCAAAAAACATACACAAAGATATTTAGTGAGTTCTGAATAGATTCTTGCAAAAGTAAAGATATCATACATCAATCTAGGGAGAATTAGCCATATTAGTCACTTTTCTTCTAATCTGCCTGGTTCAAAGCCATGCATTCTCTAAAACAATAAAAATAAAATCCATTTACTATTTAAATTGATATTATGACATACAAAACTTCCTAAAAGGAAGAATAAGAGTAGATAGTATGGAACAACACTTGCTAGATTTCTGTTTTACAAGATTGTCTATAGGAAAACACATTCTATATAGGCTGTTACAGTCATTGAAGCAAAACAGCAAAACACATATACACCTATATGAGCAGAGTTCTTAAAATTCTTCCTATTTCAAATAGATGCATAGATCTTTTAGAATAAAAACCATAATACTAGACCATTTCATACACAACACGGTGGAAAGAAAGATCTTCAAGAAAAAATTTCCGGCAAACTACAATCATTAGTAACGAAAAAAATCCGAGTGCCTTAACCAATTTCAAAATTTTGGGTATGACAAGAAGATCTGCACTTCTTCAATATAAGCGTTCTCTTCATCATTTGGTCAAAATCTTAAACCTTGCAGGACTATGGAGACACATTACAATTAAGAAAAAGTGAAAAAAAAAAAAAAGAAATTCAAAGGTGTTTTCTCACTAAAACCAGTGTTTGATTAAAAAAGTGAATGAGTTTTTTAGTTGCATACCATTTTCAGAAGCAACTAACCAGAAAGATTTCTTACCAAATAGGATTTCAACCCCAACTCTCTTCTCTCTGAACAAAGAGACTATAAAAAGAACAAAGCAAACAAACAGCAAATATCTAAACAGTTCTGCATCTTCTTTTATGCCCTATCAAGGTCATAGAGGCAGACTTAGGTGGAAGCTTCCAAAACAATAGCAATCCTTCATACAAATTGTTCTTTGCTTCCAAAGAACAACCTCCCAGTCACCACAAAGCACCTATGATCTTTCATTTATCCTCCAAAATAAAACATAACAAGAAATCATTCAAACTAAAGTTCATTTAAATGTACGTCTAATCCTTTGCATGACTTCTGTACAATAAAAACAGAACCAGATAATCACTCAAACTATAGTAATTCAAATGTAACATAATCCATCTGTTTCAGTACCATAAAATGCAAGCAACTAAAATGTTCACCTTGCTCCATTGAAATAGAAAACATTCCCATGAAATACATGCAAAAGAGATATCACAACCAGCTGATATGTCAGCATTAGGATGAAACGTTACTCAGTTTCTCAAACATCACCTGACACTAGAATCTTTTGAGGTCCCCAATCTTTATTTTAAAAACCTTGTCCAATTTCTTCATCAAAATATCTAGCATTCTTGTCTATAAAATCTCACATAATAGTCCATAACCAATAGGCTGTATAATTTAAAAAGGTTGACTGATAAGGAATCACAAAAGATATGAAGCCTGTGTCAACCTACATTTGACCTCTCTTATTGTCTCAACTCTCAAATTAATGTTCTTGCAATTCATATAGCATGGATGTTCCTCCATGACGATCATGACTATATCTTCCCAACTTTCAGATCAGTCATTCTTCTCCAACCCAGACCTATATTAGACTCCCTACCCTTCTTTTACCACAATAGACTAAAATGGTCAGAATCTACAACAAAAATAATGCTTGCTATTACTCTTGCTCACAGGGGCAATAGAAGCTAGTTGACAAAACCTTTTTTTCATAATTATTCCAGTTATTTATTCGTATCATCCTGCAACTTTCCATGTTTATGCTAGATAATCAAAAGACAGTCTTAAAGAGCTCATATAATAATTTCATCAGGGAAGACAAAATCCCAAGTACTCAGACAAGTCTAGAGCAATTTTTTTGCCAAACATCAACAGCTGAAAATTGGGCTGAAAACGAGTAATAATTCATGATAAAGATCAAAAACTTTGAGGTGATACCGCGAGAGAATTTGCCTATCGAGATCCATTTTGAGTGGCAATGCTGTTCCATAAGTATTGGCCAGGACTTTTCTCTTCATCTCCTCCTGTGTTTTTTTTGCCTAAAAAATGAAAAAAAAAAAAACCATAAAAAATAGTATTCAATACCTATTATAAAATTTAAAGCAAAAAAACCCACCGATAAAACCATCTTTAATTTCAGAAGAATCACCTACCTTCTATTTTCATTTTCAGTAATGAAAAACCCTAAAAATATATAATTTTTAATTTTATATAGTAAAACAACTATACCATATAAACACACACACAAACAAAAGAATTATATTGACTCTAATATCCCATCTTGTATTTTCTCGTAAAAAAGAAAAAAGGGGAGGAGGAGAAATTACAGATTCGTAAGCAGATTGAAGCGGGTGAGATCCGATGAAGTCGCTCTTAACACCGTGGAGACCGAATCGAAGAGCGTCGGTTTGGATTCCTCCGATTTCGTGCTGAATCGTCTTGGATGCCTCCATTTTTCTCTCTTCTTTTTTCCTTTTCTTCTTCTTCTTTGGTTTTTTTATAGATTGTTCCTTTGAACAGAGCGTATCTTTGCGAGCATGAAAGGGGGAAGAAAGATAGAGCTGCTATAGTAACTAACGATCACGTCGTATTTACTCTTTTAACGAAACGAGGTCGTTTCTAATTGTTTAAGTACCGGCAATCCAATTAAGCCCAATTCTGGTATTCGGTTGGGCTATTAGAAATCTACCACTTGCGCACCGATGCATTTTTTTTTTTATTTACTGACGTAAGTATTCAACAACATTTTTTCAAAAAAGAGTGACTCAAATCCTATTCCTAGAGTACAAGATTAATTAATTAAGTGAAATATTTGATGTTTTAAAAATAAAAGTGTAAAAAAAAAAAAAACTTACATTAGAAAAAATTAATTACATTATTGGCAAATTTTCAAAAGAATTTGAAAAAGTACTGATATTATCCGATGCATCTTGAATATGTGTCAGGCAAGGATAAAAAAGGTCAAATTGTAGGGTCAATCTTGAACTTTGATCAAATGGTGAAATTGGTTTCTCTATCATATACCATTCAAATTAGATCCCTTTACATCAAATAATTATCAAATTTAATAAAATTATTAATGGGTTAAATTAACTTTTTTGTTCAAAATGCTAACATGATATTTGACTTTTCTTATGTGATTTTTCTATATGCCTTGACCGTTGACTTTATGAAACAAACTTTTTTGTCCACCACGTTAGAAAATGTTGAAATGGCAATTTTTTGCCACGTATAAAAATTTTTTCCATGTCAGCTTTTCTTTTTTCCCTTTTTTTCTTTTTCCACTATGGTTTTTTTTTCTCTCATTTTTTTCCATTACTTTCTCCAATATCTAAAGATCCTTTACAATTTCATACAACCTAATAGAAACAAAATTTTAATTTCCTCTATTTTTCATTTTTTTTAAAGAGTTTTGAAGAAATTGAATGAAAATTTTGCATGCTTTTCAAAAATTTTGAAAATGAGTTTAGGTTCTGTGATTTTGGTAGACCATAACAAAAACAAACCCTTAATCTTGAAATTTGGGTTGCAAGGGTTCATTTTATTTTAAAGGTCGCAAGGTTAAGTGAGTTATTTGCAATGGTTACATTAGATCTAAACTTAAACAACTTAAAAACATTCTCAAGAAATCTGAAAATGTCTAATATAAAAAACAAGTTGGGTAAGTTTTTTAATTATAATTTGACAACAAAAATATGGATTTTGTTCATTTATTGACACATTGAGAAATTCACTAATTTCTATTTCCAATAATGAAAATAGCAAATAAGGGTTTTATTCATCATTATATGGGGTTTTTTTCAAAATTATTATAATAGTGATTGATTTATTATTAAATATTTTTTTCGTACTTTAGGACAGACAACCTTAACTTATAATTATGAAGGTGATCATGTTTGTTGTTGGTGTGGACTAAAAACTCCATCAATTATATCAACTAGTGATAACAATATTGGAAGAAGATTTTTTTTTCTTAGATAAACTATCAGTTAATAATCAATGATACTTGATTTTATTGTGATGGAATGAAATGAATGGTTTTGCTGTAAGGAACTATTAAGCAACTTAGGAAAGCTATTTGGTTTTGTAACTTTATTTGTTAGGGCTACTTTTGATTTGCTTAGTTGAATGGAATGAATGTAATTTGTTGGTTTTACATGTTAGGACAACTTATGAATGTTTTACATGTCAAAACAGCTTATGATAGCTTATGAATAGAATTTTTTGGTTGTATGTAGGTTAAACGTTATAGATTTTTCTTTGGCATGAAGTGCAATTGGATAAAGAACATGTAAAAGTAGTTATAATTGATTTAAGAGATGCTAATAAATATTTGAATAGAGATAATTTCATATTGATAGAGAATAACAAAACATTGAAAAGAATGATGGTGGAATTAAGGAGTCAAGATGGATACGCAAGGCAAATACCTTCCTAAATCATCACTAAAGACTTATTGGATGAAATTGTTGCATTGAAAGCTAAATTTGAAGTTCTTCAAGAATAAATGAAGAATGCTAAGGTTGATGGAAGCATGAAAAAAGAAATTGTATAAATATGCTTTGATATTTAATTAGTTAATATTGTTTTTTAGTATTAGGACATAACAATGACGATATAAGAAAAAAAAAATGAGTGGTTAGGTTTATCATAATAGTTGTATAGTTTGTACAAGAATGTAAGATTGATAATATGTTATATGACCATAATGGTTGTTTTTAGGTATATATTTTATTTTTTAGTGTTTACTATGTTTTTTTTTTTTTTTGGTCAATAAACGTATACTATTTTTAGTAACCATAATATAAGTGAATTGACAAACTTAATTAGCACTAAAGCATAATAAAGATTAAAAAAAACTATGAAAATTGATAATTTTATTTTAAATCCTTATTAAATTGTCACAAGTTGCAAACAATACTATACAAAAAAAATTCCATCACCATCTAGCACATGTTACACAAAAATTTTTCAAGATCATTCATAATCATCCAACCCTAAGAAAAATACATAATTGTCTTTTGATAAAACAAAAAACCCTAACAGCTCTCATTATGCATCAACTTTTTCTTTTCCTTATCTAGATGTAATTGCAATATTTTTTTGTATTGAATTTGGTATAGACAACCCTGGAATAGATTTTCTTTAGATAACTGACTTGGTTCTTTATGTTTTGACATTTTATCAAGATTTTGATTCCTATGTGCCTAATAATAAGAAAAGAAACAAGATTAAATGACTATAAAATAATAATAATAATAATATTGAACACTTGTAATTAATTTGCATTAAATTAGTTATCAATAATTGATTTTTTGGTAATGCATTAAGTAGACATCTTCACTCTCTTTCGAACAATTGTCTCGTCAAGCTTACCAAGCACTTGAATTAAACAATTCATACCAGTGTTATCTATCATTCTCTTATTCTTTAGGCTTTAAGAGTGAAAATAGAATTAAATTATTACTTACATTAAGAATACATATTCACTGTTAGGGTTTTGGTATAAACCAATTCTTTCTTAATATGGTCATTTTTTTTTTTTGCTTCTTTTAGAAGGGTCAATGGTCTATTTAATGACCAACACACTTTGTTTTAGATTTATAGATTCATAAAAAGTGAAACCCTAATTGACAAAGTTAACATAATATAAAAAATACCTTGTTGTTAGTAGATAAAAAAGCATAGAGTTTTTCTTGGATTTTTTTTGCACTAGGTCTAGAACGTTGACAAAAACCTTAAAATATTAACCAATATAGTCAAACTTTACTATTCCCCTTTTCTACAATACATTATACAAACCACAACAATAATCAAAAGTTATACCTTGCTCAATTTTGCTACAATATCATTTTCTTATCTTACTTTCATTTTTTTTCTTGGCTTAAAACTCTTATTTGGGGTCTACACATTGAAAATAAAGAAAAAGTTTAACACTATATACAATTTAGCTACTAAGAATAATAAATATATGTTATCACAAGATAGACATATTACAAACTTTGTTTTCTTTAGACATCACAATTTGTTGTGACCCTCATCATGGCAATAATTATATGTCATCACCTTACTAGCCTATATAATCTGCTTTTGTTCTTTCCTTCAAATGATTGATGTTTATTTTTGAAACCCCCTTGAAAGGAAAACGAAAAAAAAAAAAAAAAAAGAGAAACTAGAAAATGTCAAGAGAGAACAAGGAAAGGAGAAAAAAGAAGAGTAAGTTGATCAAGTGATTGAATGGAGTTCACTTCGTTGTTCAATTAAGCTAGAATTTTATCTGCATGTTAATGACTTGTTGTTCTACATTCTAAATGGTGAAGATTGGGATTGGAGTTCTATAGGAACAAATTCAGAGTATATTTGTTAAGTTGCTTATTTAGTGAGATTTCTTCAATTGTTTCTATGATTATATTTAACTTTAATTTCAATTAAAAGAAAACTTTGTATACCATATTTAATATAAGAAGATTTTCTTGATAATCTGTGTTTTTTTTCTTTTTATATCGGATGATTTTTAATATAAATTTTGGTGTATTTATTTTTTTGTTTTTAATTATTGATTGTTGTTTGCTTATTGCGACTTTATTATGATAAATTGTTTTCATGTTCTTGTGGCTCATGAATGACACGAAGGAATCCTAGACAAATATGCACATTTGGATGCTATATAGATTTCTCAACTGATAATACGAAAAAAATCAATAAGAGGGCCAACAATGAAAATATAGCACATGGCTTTATTTTTAATAAGAAGAAATCCGCAAGTATATAAATCAAGCAAATAATATAATATGAGCAAAGTATCATTCTCACGACAATTGTAAAAGAGTTAAACTAAATACTAAAATTGAACACCCTAACTATATTCAAAATAATCGACAAATATGCAATTAACTAATCTATAATGCAAACCGAAAATTTAATTAACTAAAAATTAACTAAACTGAATATAATAAATAAATTAGAATGCAAAATAGTCCATTAAAATAATGCTATAAACTAAAATTGAAATTATGCATTTAATTAAAAGCAGTTTTTAAAATTAATGTAGTAGATTAATTATAATGCAAAACTTATAAAACTAATTTAATCTTATATGCAGCAATGAAAACTGTAATGCAGTAGCTAATTAACAACCGAATGTAGTAAACCAAATGAGAAAAAAATTGAAATTTTAATTACAAAAACTAAAGCAAAATTGTAGAATAAAAACTATCTAAAACTATTTAATATAAATTAGTATAGAATTAAATGTTAGAAATAGTGACTCAAATCTTATAGCAGATTTATTTGGGATTGGCTAATATTGCTTGATGGATAAGAAGATTAGAAAAAAAAAAAATTCTAAGAGAAAATGGATTCTTGATGGGCAAGTTTGTATGCTTATAAATAAATAAAATATTCACAGGGTTAGTATGAGAAAAAATTGTAAGAGAGTTGTAGGGTACTAGAGATTTACATCTTATGAGTGTATATGTTTGTATGTTTATGAGTGAATCAGAAGAAATTAAGATGGTCCACATAGATAATGGTACATTGATGTATATGGGTATGAATTTGTTTGAATTGAGAATACTCCACGAGATTAAAAAAGATTGAGAGGGTCTATTAGTATTAATTATGAGTGCTTAATTTGATGTTTATTTGTAATTCTCTGTAACTAATGAATTTTTTT